CTCCAAGTAGCTGGGATTACAGGTCCATGCCACAATGCCCAGTTAGGTTTGTGTGTGTGTGTGTGTGTGTGTGTGTGTAGAGATGGGTTCTCACTCTTGCTCAGGCTGATCTTGAACTCCTGAGCTCAAGATGGAGCTCAACTCCACCTTGGCCTCCTAGAGTTCTAGGATTACAAGGCTTGAGCCACTGCATCTGACCAAGCTGGGCAATTTTTAAAATAATGATCAGGCTAAGCATGGTGGCTGCAGTCCCACCTCCTTCCTGCCCTTCAGAAATGGGTTTATCCCCCGGGAAGTCCAAAAGGGAGCGAGCTGCCAACCAAGGGGGCTGGACTTAGGCTCTGCCCGTGAGTGGACAGTGTGTGAATTGTGTTGCTTTCTGGTTGAGCTGCTTCACTTAGAGGTGGGCTCTTTGTGTCCCTGTTGTCTTGTTCCTGGGGAGGGACTGAGGTGGTGTCCACTCTCACCCAGGGAGGTGTATAATGAGGATAAAAGGTGGAAAAGAGACTCTACTTAGTTCTTGTTTTCTTTTCTACAACTTTGAGTCCTCTGGAGTCATTTTATAGAGAGGAAAGTTTAAGTAAAATAATTAAAATTAATTGATGACTGTTAGAATTCGGTATGTATTTTGTGTGTGAGCGTGCATATAATTTTGCAATCAGGTACTTCAGCATGTATATTTATAACTGTAACACACACGTATACCCCCTTTAAGAGTCCTTTAAATATTTTTCCATGTAATTTAATCTTTTTTGAAAACAGTCTTTTTATGGCTACATTATATTCCAACATGTATATGTGCCATCATTTATTGGAACTGGACATTGATTGATGCTCTTTTTTTTTTTTTTTTGAGACAATCTCACTGTGTCACCCTTGGTAGAGTGACATCACAACTCACAGCAACCTCCAACTCCTGAGCTTAGGAGGTTCTCTTGCCTCAGCCTCCCAAGTAGCTGGAATTACAGGCGCCCACCACAACACCTGGCTGTTTTTTTTTCTGCAGTTTGTTTGGGGCCGGGTTTGAACCCTCCATCCTCGGCATATGGGGCTGGTGGCCTACCTACTGAGCAACAGGTGCTGCCCTGATGCTCATTTTTTGGTAAGCTATTATAAACAATGCTGAGATGAAGATCTTTTAAAAAACATAGGAAAGTACTATAAGAAATAACCCTTACTTAGGGGCTGCTTAGAATGCACAGACACTTGTAGATTGTAATTTTGATTCCATATTTTTTGCAGTTTTTGGCTGGGGCCGGGTTTGAACCCATCACCTCCAGTGTATGGGGCCGGCGCCCTATTCCTATGAGCCACAGGTGCTGCCTCGCGTTCCATATTTTTTTATAAAGCAAATAAAATATTGTAAGTTGGAACCATCTTTGTTCCCCTGCCATTCAATTGCTTCCTTCCTGAGGCCA